AATAGAGAAAAATAAAAGAAAGAAAAAAGATGAAGTATTGACTGGAGGGAAGGCCTGAATAAACGTCCATGTTTTTAACTTATTTTTGAAGGTACCTAATTCCTGTAGTCACCTCCTCACACATGTGGGTGTTAAGGGAGATTCTGTTATGCTGGGCCTCCAGACCTTGTGGCCAAGGTGCCCCAGCCAAGAAAGGGAGGCGCTTGGGGTTTGGGAAGGCAGAGGGAAAAGGAAGAGGCTGTAAAGGTAGGGATGCGGCCAGAAGCAAGAAGGCACTGCCTCCACCCCCATCGTTTTTGTGATGCTCCAGGTGAGGGAGGCACTGCGGCAGTGGTGGTGGTGGGGAATCATCCATCAGGGAGCTGCACGTGTCTTCCTACATCAGGCAGCAGGACGGCTGTGTTGCCACTACTGTATCTTGCGCTTGGGGACTTGGACCTGGATGTCCAAAACCCCAGTTTACACCATACTGACTTTCTAAACATACTGGTGGCAGATTCAGGACCACCTTCTTTTTTGTCTCTCCTCATTAATGAGGAACAATTTTCCACCAAGATTTATGCCATTTTCCATATGCAAGCATAAATTTAACAGTAGGATCCTGGCAATAAATCAATAAGTAAATATTGCATTAGCCCGGGTTCTAGAATTACCAGCACTTGGAAACATTTATTTTTCTGTCTGCAGTCAAGGCAATCTCCCAGCAAGCATGGCTGTTGGGTAAGCTGGCTGGGGATGTCTGGGAGCTGTAGTCCTTTTTTTTAAAGTGTACTGTAATTCCCAAAGTTTCTGTATTACTCTCTGAACTGGATCTCGACATGAGTCCCCAAGACCAAAGGAGGTCCTTGCGAGTACTTGCAACCAGAGAGTTTCCTCTGTGCGTGTTTTGCCCCCCTTCTGCGCTCAGTCTTTCAAACCAGAGATTCCAGGCACATGGGTGGGCTAGGAGGATATTGCTGCTTTTTTTAAATTATGTAGCACAAACTTGGATGAAGCAGCAGCAATTACCAGCAGTAAAAAGCCCAGATGAGGAATCTTAATGAATTACAGAACAATGGCAAATCTCCTGCAGCTAGAAACACACTTTGATGTAGAATGATAGGGAGGACTTGTGGGTTCTGTGCAACTGCCCGTCACATTGGCCCCCACAGTTCTTGCAGTAGAGATCTCTTACCATATTTTTCAAGTAAAGAAAGGGAGGAAAGGGAGGGGGGATTATTCTCTGATATACAAGATGCTGATGATTATTCAAGACTTAGTCCAAAGATCGGTAGATGCATGTCCAACTGTATTTTAGGCCAGAGTCTTCTTGCTCCAGGCTGATGCAAATAAAATAAGGATGGCTTGGGCTGAGAGTTTGGCTGTCTTGATTGCTGCCCGTTGGTGAGTTAACCAGGAGTGTCGGTGATGGAAAGTAATGCAGCACATATACTAAAATTGGAACGATACAGAGTACAGTACTGTAATACCCACTCCAAAGATTGAGGGAGAGAATAGGAGTCTATTTTCTTTACTTTAAAATTAAATTGCGGATATTCTGTCACCCACCAACTTATATAGCTTTCATAGACAAATTCATGCTGGAGAATGCTATCAACACCTACTAGTTATGAGAGTCGTTAAAGAAAGACACTGTATGTCTGAATACTAGGGGCTGGAGAGCACAGCTGAAATGGTGAGCGTCTCAGTAGGGTCTCCAGATGGCCACGGTGGAAACCGAAGGCTTGTCTAGAGAAGCCTCTGACAGAGCTTGAGAATAATGCATTAGCATTAATGTGTTACCATTAAAATTGCAATCTTCTAAAAGAATGATTTGAAAACACTATTACAATTTTACTTTCAAAGCATTGTTTTTAGAAGATTAAATGCAACCGTTTTAGAAGATTAGAGACATCCATCAGTCTGCTTCTCCTCCTCCTTGATGCAAATATATTGATTATAGTATTAACTGTAACTCATTATTTACAAATGGGCCATAACTAGCAGGATATGACACACAGGACATGCAGCTCAAAATGCCCCCCCCCCGGCCGCAAACCAACATTGCCATTCATAGTTTGAAAATAATACAAGAAATAGTCGCGGCTCTGAACATCTTGCCCGCATCTCCCCTGCTCTGCAGGATCAGCAGTACTGCCAGAGC